CATCTTGCTACTGTTAAAACAAGCAACAAAATAAGACAAAAATAAAACAAACCCAAGCGACACTCCAGACACAATCCAAATCCATTAACTGAATAGAATCTTTGAAACTTCACCAAGTAGAAGATTAAATTCAAGTTAAATCCCAAATTAAACAACGCTACACAGAATTACACCTAGACAAATTAAGAAATTTCAATAAAGAAACAGCTCCGCAGGGCTCGGTTTATCTGTAAGTCAATTCCCAGAAACTTTAGACTAACCCATAAAAATAGAATTAGCCAAAACACTCAGATTGGTACTATATTTACAATAAATAATACTAGTACACTTCCCCATCCTAACTAAAGAACCAGGGAACAGCTTGGTGGTGGTCTCGTTTGAACCTCCCAACTGACCTTCCTTCGTTCTTAGATGATTTCGTCCCCTCACTGTGTGCATCGATGATATTTCCTGGGAGGATGACGGTTGCATTTAACGATGACATATTTCGCTGGGACATGAAAAGTGATGGTCTTGGCCACATCTGATGTACATACATAGTATTTTATGCACAGGCCCATTGACAGCGTACCAATGCGGAACTGCATGTAACTCGTGTCCCAACTCAACGCAGGGGAGCAGTGGCAGGAGGTGGGGTAGGATCGTTGAGTGCAAAGGGCAAACCTCTGCATTGGCATGTCAGCTGAGAATGGAACGCAACGTCACAACGGCATATCATGAGGGCAATGTGACAAGGTGGGAGGAACCGATGAGGGATGCCTGCATAGAATGCATCGGGATGGAGGAGAGAGATGAGCACCGGGGCCGTTGGAAGGATGTGTTGCGGACATAGGTGGTCACAGCAGAGTGGAGGGAAGATGCAGAAGGATAAATGCGACCATTGCATTGGCACTGCCAGTGGCGCTGCAAGAGTGCATGTGGAGGTGGCCATGGCACGGTCATAGCAATGTGTGGATGACATCGGGATCAACAATGGATGGGGCAGCAGAGCGGTGGGAGTGTTGTCGCATGCCAATAAGACGGACGCTGAATGCATTGGTTCATGAGTGGGGTCTCAACATCTGAGCCCCAGGCTCATAACAACCTATGGGACTTGCAAGATCTGCAGTATTGTCGTCTATTAGTTAGATTGTATGGTGGAACAGCTCCTGAAAAAAAAGGGTTTACATAAATGGTTCCATACATGCGTTACTCGCTCTATCACATGTTTGATTACAATAGAACATGGAACAGGACCACGGCAATTCAGTCTAAGCCCACAAGACCTGCTACTCTGTAGTGGGAATTATATACACAACAAAATAAAAATAAAATGGGGAGATGGAGGGATGGGGGCTCCGGTTGATAGTTTTGGATGGGAGGCGGTGCTGAAGGATGGGGGAAAGGTGAAGGGGGTGGCGGACTTCTCGGCATTTGTGTTTGCAGAGCAGATTGTGGAATAAACAAAAGGAAGCGGTTGAACGGGGGAAGGAGGAAGGAAGTCCCCCTCGTTGTTGAGCTGTAGACGCGCCTGCAAGGGGACCCTTTAGACGGTCGTGGAGAGTGCCCCATCGGACTCCGATCAGGGTGACTCGTAGGGAACACATATAGTACGCATCAGGGGCCATAGCACACTTTTGATGGGTAATGAACGCAAATTGTTGAACAATGGGAAAAGGGACTCACCTCTAGCATCTCCCAGCCATGTGTTTCACGCCTCACCCATGCAAGTCCAAAGCCCGTCATGTGCACGTCAAAAACCAAGTGCCAGGAGCCTGTTTGGGATGCCCAGGTCGCACTGGGACATCAGTGTTACAGGTTGAACTGGTGTGGGGGCCATTCATGCCACCCCTTGCCGGGTCTGTCCTGTTTCCTGGTTTTCAAATGAAGACCGGGGCACAAATGCTCCCAGCGATGAATGCAGTAGGTGTTAGAACTGGGCGAGGGTGGACGATTCTGGAGGGGAACTGGAGACTTAGCAAGGAGGGACCTTGGCCTCAGCAACTCAAGTGGAGCGCTGTGCCATTGCTGTTTGTCCATTTGGTCCATAATTTCATAGGAGGCGAGCAGGAAGTCTCTAGGGGGCATATCAGGTCGATTTTAGACTAAGGGACTAAAATGAGTATGTACAAGCGCTGATATATAATGGAGAGGGCAAAAGCACAAGGGAAACAAAGGGAGTGTCAGGGCGTGGGAATACGTTACCGTGACTCGCCGTCGGTGACCGTTAAGGTCCGCTGCTTTGGCATAACAGCCCGTCAAGGGCAGGGATGACAATCGCAGTGGAAAGGGGTTTCGGCTTCAACGACTCGTTCGTGAGCGTTGCGCCTCGTACTTGACATGGCCCCGATATTTCAGGAGGCAGGAGGTGCGACTGGGTCAGACAGAGAGTGTGGGGGGGGGGGTAACCCTAGTTGATTTTCGAACTGCAGTATGAGGTAGTGTACAACCGGTATTTAAGTATAACGGAATGAATGGAATTAAGTCACCAGATCTCACGGAGATTGCAGGCGGGGTTAAGAAGAAACAAAAACAAACAAAGAGTGTGGGAGAAGGACGGCTGTGTACGGCCGTCAAGAAAAACAAGCGTGATAAAGAAAGACTCGTAGGCCTGTGATGGGCCGTGGAAACAGGTAGTGGTGACTGTCATATCCGTGCATACCCGACCCCGACCCGACTTCCGGACCTCCACCCTCTTCACCTCCGGAGTCATAACCTACCGCTGCCGTTCTGATACTCACCTTCAGTCTTGGCAACACACCCCTCCTCTTACCTCTCCGACCCTTTCTCCGTCCGCTCCGATACTCATCTCGGACCGAACATCGCCCCACTCGCCACCCTTCCTACAACTCCGCTCCCCCCTCACAACACCTCCACCCTCCCGTCATCCCCCTACGCTTCCCCCGTCCGTTCCGATACTCACCTTCGGACCTGACTACTCTCCTTTCCGCCACTCCCTCTTCCTTACCTGTCCCCTCTCTCCTCCTTCCGTTACTCCTCTGCCACCCTTCCGCCAAGTTACGACCGTCCACCGCTGTTCCGTACTTCGCACTCGGACACCGTTCGTACCTTACTCCGAGCCTCCGTCATAGTCCCTACCTCGGACTTTGACTCCACCTCAGTTTTAGTCCATTGCATTGGTGACCTCATACTACATAAACACCATTGCCAATATTCCTCGGACTTCCAACCCCGCCTCCATAACCTCCGTAAGCTCCGCAATCCCAGAGCTTCACGGACCGCCTCCAGCACTCTCACCATTTGTAATGTATTTCTCACAATTTCCCCTCATCCCTATTTGGACTACTGCTTCTTTCTATTCTAGCCAGTTAGTCATCACCCCCACTTCCCCTCATCCTCCTGCCCCTCTGGGCCTCGCCCTCTCTACCTCCTTTCGGACGTATCACAGGTCTTGCCCTATGACCTTCGGTACCGCTCCACTCCCTCTACCCTTTGTTCCCGTTCGGACATCTTCATTCCGATTCGGTCACCCTTTGTTTTCCTTGTGCTTTTGCCCCTTCTTTATATATATCGGCGCTTGTACATACTCGTCTGGTTTCAGTCCGAAAACGACCTGAAATGCCCCCTAGAGACTTCCTGCTCACCTACTGTGAAATTAAGGACCAAATGGACAAACAGCAATGGCACAGCGCTCCGCTTGAGTTGCTGAGGCCAAGGTCCCTCCATGCTAAGTCTCCGATTCCACTCTGGAGTCATCCGTTTCTGCCCCGTTCTAACAGTGATGGGGAAGGGTGATGGGCTTGTTCAGGCGGTGTCGGGCGGGTAGCGGGGTTGACGGGGTCGAAGCGGGGGAGGGAGAAGGTGTGGGGAGTGATCACCTGACCGTGGGAATTGCCAGGTCGTGACAGGGAGTCCGAATCAGAATGAAGGCATCCGAATGGGAACAAAGGGATGACAGAAGCAGAGCGGTACCGAAGGTCATAGGGCAGAACCTGTGGTACATGTGAAAGGAGGTAAGGAGGGCAAAGCCCAGAGGGGCAGGAGGATGAGGGGAAGTGGGGATGATGACTAACTGGCTAGAAAGGAAGAAGCAGCAGTCCAAATAAGGGTGAGGGGAAAATGCGAAAGATACATTACAAGCAGCGAAAGTGCCGAAGATGATCTGTGGAGCTCGGAGGTTGTGGAGGTTATGGAGGTTACAGAGGTGGGGTTGAAAGTCTGAGGAATATTGGCAATGGTGTTTACATAGTATGAGGTCACCAATGCAATGGACTAAAGCTGAGGTGGAGTCAAAGTCTGAGGTAGGAACTATGATGGAGTCTTGGAGCGAAAGTACGAGCGGTGTCCGAGTACGGGACAGCAGCGGAAAATCGTAACTTGGCAGAGGGTTGGTGGAAGGGGGTCAGAGGGAAGAGAGAGGAGAGAAGAAAGGGGAGAGGAGTGGAGGAGAGGGAAGGTGTCGGGTCCGAAGGTGAGTATCGGAGCGGATGGGAGAAGGGTAGGAGGGTGATGGAAGGGTGGAGGTGTCATGAGGAGGAGTAGGAGGAGTGAGAGGAGTGATGTTCAGTCCGAGATGAGTATCGGAGTGAACGGAGATAGGGTAGGAGAAGGACAGAAGGGTGGAGGGTCACGAGGGATGAGGGGTGGTGTGGTGTCAGGTGTGGTGTCAGGACCGAAGGTGAACATTGGAACAGACAGCAGTAGGGTAGGACTCGGGAGGTGGTGAAGATGGAGGTCCAGGAGTCAGTTTGGGATCGACTATGTACAGATATGACAGTAGGCAGGTGAGGCAGTGAGGGGTTTTTGTTTGCATCGTCAGACTCTGTTATGACTCACATCGCTCACCCAGGTACTGGGCTCTCATCTGTCTCACCACACAGTGAGAATCTGGTTAACTCTATAGACAGATTAGTACTCGATACCAGCCTGTTCCCTTCATCGCCAGTATGCTCTCACAAGCACCAAATAGCTGCCGATCCCACCACAATTGTCATTTGACCTATGAATGACTAACCCCTCCATCACTGGTACACTCATATAAGCACCAAGTACCCATTGACATGAACACAGACCGTTCACCAAACAAACAGTCTTATACCCCATTACCGGTACACCCATCTGGGCACCAAGTGTCCATCAACCCAACCTCAAGAAGCTCCCTCAAGGAGCTGGAATCCCACTCGTTGCTGGTACGCCCATCTGGGTGCCAAGTACCTGTCAACCCAACCTCAGGAAACTCCCTCAAGGAGCTGTTATATCACTCGCTACCGGTACGCTCCCTCGAGCACCAAGTACTCATTAGCCTCGTGCCCTCAACTGGTCCAGCTTGGGATATCCCCTTTACTTGTGATCCTATACATCCGCGCATGGTATGCTCATGTAACAAGCGCCAAGTATCCATCACAGCAGACTGTCATTCACTGCGAGGTCCCAGCTTTCTGTCAAAAGCTCTAAGGTTATCGGATGATACTCATTACACGACTAGGCCACCCTACATACACAAGGTTGACGATTCCAAGTTGTCTATAAGGATGGAAAGAAATGGATTACCCAGAACCCATTTCTTTAACATTGGTGCCCCAACCCCAGTCTGACTAGATCGCACCATGCCACTAAGGACGCTGGCTCAATCAACACACAACCATGATGCTTTGGCATCATCCACACAAGACACCCCCCCTACCAGGTACCCGACTCCACAGCAACGTCTTCCCCATGGGGTGATGTGCGAACCTCGCCTGAAGCCGTTCAGAGGGGACGAGATCTCACACTCATCATAGAGGCCATCAGAGAGTTCGAGGGTGGAGTTTTCAATGATCCTGACACCCCCATGACCAAAATCCGTAATTGGCAGAGGATCATGCCAGCCTGGCTCGAAAGAGAACTCGTCCCTGATGACAGTGCTAAGCCAACACTGCAATATCGGCTTGCACCCCTAGATTGACTAGGATTGACTGATATGTTCTCGAAGATTTCAGTGTTCACGTGTCTGGCCGCTGCCACCAATTATGCCACAGGCCAATTCGTTATAGACCCACATGGCAATTTCTCACTCATGCTGGCTGAGAAGGGCTGGGCATCACAGAAGGAATTTGATATCGTATGGCACTTCCTTGACCAATGACTCAACGCCTTTGAGAAGCACTTTGATTCCATAAATAGAGCTGTTGACCCTTCTTGGGAGTTTGACAAATCGTGGCTCAGTGGTTTCAGGCTGGCCAGTGTGCCACATACCACTTTCACTGATCAGGAATCGATCAAAAGGGCTTGGTCCACAGAGATTAGGCCTACCTGCGAGTCGACCCGTGAGATGCTGGGTTGGGAACTAAACAGTCAGCATGAACCAGCAGTCGATGAAGTCACCTTCATACATCAATGCCAGCAGCTGCCAATAGAGCTCCCTGCTCCCAGGCCGAGTCGCTGCAGCTATGTTACACAGGGATGAAGGGATGGTACCAACGATGGACCGTCCCCATGAATCCTATACGCTCCACAATCCCAAGAAGGATCTGGACTATGCAGAATTTGTTCAGGGCCTCAAGGGCAGAAAGCTGGAGGTGGGCCCTGCCAACGAGAGGTATCAGAACAATAGGTATAGACCTGGGCCCAATACAGGTCCCACCCACTCATTGTTTCGAGACCCTTTCACCCCCATAAACCTTGGTATGGAGCCAGTTAGATCTGGACCCCAACCTTGGCCACAATATCGCCGAGTGTCAGAGACCAGGTTGAGACGAGGGAATGTCTCCATGGCGGAGGGCTTCAGCCTCAGCGACTTATGCCAGGAGCGCTGTGCCAAGTAACACGTCCGCGCCCTAACTTACTAAACTGGCAACCAGAACTGAAGGGGGGTAAACTCTAGTTGATTTTATTACTGAGGTGTAACCTATGTACAAGTTGAGTATATATATAGTTGCAACGAGGGCGGGTCCGCAAATGGTGGAGCAGAGCTAACGGGGTTAGACATTAGCCGATTGAATATTACCGACGAGTCGGGTTATGGGGTTAACAGAAAGGTAGGTGATAACCCAGAAACAGAAAGGAGGGATAGGCCCGAAGGTGGGCTTTGCAGGGCAAGCAAGTGTATTGCCCAGCGGAGGCGGGGGTGCGCTAGCGGACGTTGGAGCTGTCTGGAAGCCTTCAGGGCTCCATACTTAGGGAGGCATAGGTAATAAATTGAAAGGAGGGGGTGGTGACCATCGAGGGGTACCGAGGGGATTGCAGAATACGGGAGCTCCAAGGTTAGTGAAGAAGGAGTGGAGGTAGACCGGAGGGATCGGAAGTCAATGGATATGACACTGAGGCAACGAACCACCACAACTGCCTGCTCCTCCAGACCCACCTCTACCCCAGGGTGGGCCACCTCCACACAACTATCTGCCACCTCCATCAGGAGGTCAAGCAGGTGTGCCTCCTCCACCACTGCTCCTGCCAGGGAGTCAGGCAGGTGCACTGCTGCCACCACCATCGCCTGTGCCAGGAGGTCAGGCAGGGGCACCTCCACCTCCACCACCTCCAGGGCCAGGTGCTGTAATTCCTCTCCAAATGCCAGGAATCAGGCCATACCTCCCATTTGACCGGATGCAACCTTACATCGATTGTAAGTACACTATGTCAGATTTCCCCAAGTTTGATGGCTCAATCGACAGTTATATAACCTGGTGCAGTACATGCCGAAATTTAGCAAGACACTTGGTGGCCTTCACCCAGCAAATGGCAGGGGTCCTGCCTGAGAGGTTCAAGGGAAAACTCACGGACTGGTGGACTACTGTCCCAACAGCCAACAAGCTATACTTCACTCGAAATTGGGAGGCTCTACACAGTTATATATTACACTACTTCTTGATGCCTGCATTCATCGACAAAATACGAGAGTGTTACCACTCGTGTCGATACCGTAAAGGTGAGGGTCACACAAGGGAGACACTGCTCGATTTCGTGACATGCAAGTTGCAATTATTGTGCACTCTCTACCCTTTGGCCAATGTACCGAGTCGGGTTGGGTTCCACCAAAAAAAAACAGGGCAATTGGGGGGTAGTGGAGCAGTGGTATGGCGCTGGAACTATCAAATATGCAGTGGCGCACACGCCGGTCGGGTGGGAGCCCCAGTCGAATTGTACCGTTTTTCTCAGTACTTGGGCGCCAGATGGGGTGCGCGTAGTATCCCGATGAAATGCGAATACGGGCTCGCTAAGACGGACTGGACAAAGGGTGGCGAGGAATTTAACCGGGTGAGATTGGGGTATGGAGTACACGGTGTGGGCCCGTGGCGAGCGCACGGTGTTCTTGTCTAATTGCACTGCCGTTTCTCAAGTCGCTCAAGCGCAGGGTTTCGGGCGAATGTGAATACGAGTCCACTAACACGGATTGGATGAAAGGGTAGCGCGCAATTGGGGGGTGCAGAAGGTCGAGGGTGGCAGAAGGGTAAAGTTGAGGTTCGTGTCTGATTGCGCCGTTTTGCACGTCGTGTATGCGCCGCTTGGTGCATGATGTCCAGAAAGCCGAACCTGAGTACGAGACCACTAATAGGATTGGACGAATCGACAGTACACGATCCGGGGCAGGGGTCGCGACAATGTCCACCGAGTGGGATTGTTAGTGCCGTTTGATGTTAATAGGCGATGCAAAAAAGTTGGCTGCTGTGCCAGGAATGCCTAACCACAGGCAGTGAGACTTACAGGCCCGTGCACGAGTAACGCTGTTGGGTATCGGCCGCGTGATGTAATACACCGTTTGGGTAGGAGAGCTGATTGGGGGGTGTATGAATGTCGAGTGTACTACGCGGGATCAGAACGGGAGGTTGGCGTTGCAGAGGGTGGGCCAGAAGACCAAAATAACCGTGATCGCCAGCGGTGTTGAATACAACCTCTGGCCCTCGTCAGTCGGATATCTTCACGGTAACCGTGATTCACTAGCGACGCGCGAAGCACCTCTAGTCGTCTGCGGTTAAAGATGAAGAGAAGAGCCCTCAATGATGTCTAGAAAGTTTTTGTTAGCTGCAACGCCGAGAGCAAACAGGGAGAACACGTACTGGAAATGGAGTTTTGGGGCCGACAGAGCTGGAAAGGATTGTGTGTGGCAACCCTGAGCTGTGGAATGGAGTACGACGTTTACACACGATGTTAAAGCTGGGTGGGATCGATAGATTTTGGGCGCTTACCGGGACGTGTGGACGTAGAGCCGCGATCAGGGGTTGAAGTCGTATCTGTAATGTAATATATGTTATATAGTATAACAATATGACAATAAATTCGGAACACTGGCGTTGATCGACGCGCACATCACGTGCCTCGGCTTTGGCCGGACGACCGTTTGAACTTTGGTTGTATTGGTTCCCACGGGATGAGTGTGGTCAATGCCGTGGTCACTGCTCCCAGTTGTCGAAAACTTGTCGAAAGCACTACGTATCCATCGAACCGAAAAAACTCGGTGTTAACGTGATCCCCCTGGAATGAGCCAATCAGAGAGCGAGAAGCGGTCGCCCGGCACGACCCGCGCTATTAGAAAAACAAAAAAGGTCGCGGCAGACCATTCATTGGGCGATCCAGTGCCGTGCTGAGCGCTTGTCTCGCTCTGCTCAAACAGGTACACCCCAGGGGGGCTGTACTTGGCCATGCAGCCACCAGCTCAGGGAGCCTGGTTGCATCGTGCTGAGCAGACCTTCTCCATTGTTTTGTGGAAGCTCGAAGCGCCTGCATGACCTTCTCAGTACAGGTATGTATAAGAGATAGCGCCGACGTTATGACTGACTCAGGCCAACTCAGGTCCATAACTACCACTTCCGTGTTACCTGGGATCGTAGCGAACAAACGATCCCAGTCATCGCAAAAACGCAATATGGTGACCATCGCACCTTTCCTCCCGTCGTCTCTCCTTACTACCGGACAAGCAATCCCCAGAAACTCATTCAAGCTCGACGACCCAAACACCCTCTTCGTATACTCGGACGGATCCCGATACAAGGAAGATGGCAAGATAAAAACGGGCTTCGGCGCCATAGGCCACGCATATGGCAAAGTCGTCTAAACCCACCCGCATCGTCATTTATGCAGACAACACTGGTGCACTAAAACGCGTCGTTCAGAGTAAGCCGCGTAAGGCACAGGAGTTAGCCAGGGACTTCAGGAAAACCATGTGCAAAGTCCTAACAGACTTCGAGGAGTCGAAAATCGCACTGCACTGGTGCCCAGGCCACCTCGGTATACCAGGGAACGAGAAAGCCGACCAACTAGCAAAGGAAGGGGCCAAACTCAGACCAGCTTGACCGAACTTTAAATCCCTCTCATACGTAGAAAGTCTACGCAGAGAGAGATGGAAGAAGCCTGGACACACGACGAACACACGGAACCCTCCGAGGTCGGGTTTCTATGCGGCGAACCAGCTAGCACCCAAACTCAGACCCACGAAACGGTTCAGAAAACTCGACCGAAAAACCTTCAGCCGAGTCCTCCAATTTCGAACAGGACACGCCCACATAGGAGAATACTACCACCGCTTCAGCCTCACGTCGGAGAGCAGAGCCTGCCAATGCAGGAAACCGACACAGACGAGGACACACATTCTGACGGAACGCCCCAGGTCGAAGAGACATAAACACCTACTAGGATGCGAACCAGACGAAGTTCAACATGCTAATTGGCAAAGTGAAAGGCATAGAGAGACTCACGTTTTTCATTAAAAAGTTCAAGACAGGCGACAAACGGAAAACCAACGATGACGGACACATGAAAAGGGATACCACTCCCGGCCGCGCGGCACATAGAACAGACGCGGAGTAGGAGATGCTGGGGATAGACGGACAGACATAACTGCTTTTTATTTTATTTCTCACTTTTAACAACACGACAATACCCACGGACACCACAAACCCCGAGGAACAATGACACCCGAAGATACCAACCAGAATATCCATCATGTATAGACATTCCCCCCATGTACGCTACGGTGTCAGGATGGGAAAGCCGCACTGCCACGTCATCACGAGGCCGCGGGGCATTAAGATAGAGTTATCATCATCATCACCAGACGAGCAATCTTCTTGTGAGGTACTCACGAATAGGGCGATTCATTTGTGTTGGAGTGGTAGGCCGGACGAGTTTTCGTACAGCCACATTCCCACGTCCGAGCGACGAACTCGCCCGGACAGCCACCTATTGTTTCGGACTAATCCGTGCCAGGCCACATTCATTTGAATTGAATTCTTTTCCCCTCAGTTCTTCACGCATATCGGCTGAGACTGAGCTTCACGCTTCTAGTCCAGCTCTGAAGTCAATAGTCGCACATCAACAGTTTGGAGGATTTAGTATTATGTGTTGGAGAAACCGTGTGCTATGGGAAAGAGGCCGGACGAGTTTTCGCACAGCCACATTCCCACATCCGAGTGAGGAACTCGCCCGGACAGCCACCTATTACTTCAGACTAATCCGTGCCAGGCCACGGATATATTCATTCATTTGAATTCATTTCTTTTTCCTCAATTCTTCACGCATATTGGCTGTGACTGAGCTTCACGCTTATAGTCCTCAATTACCGCGCACCAATATTATACCATACAATGTACCCCGAGATCCTAGCAGACCCCTCATTCGCTTACCACAATTATTCCGTCCACGACATGATTCATCGCGCATTCGTTTGAGCCTATGCCATGGATGGAATGAATTTTCTTTTCAACGGGACTCCACGCCTGCCATCATCCCCCATCGGAGGACCGACTGGTATCTCCCTCATGGTTGCAAAGGATACAGGATGCATGGAGCATACAGCGACATCGCTACTGGAACGGATATATGCCAAGTTCCCTGGCCTGGCCTTGCCTGTATCTCCATGATTGGTACGACCCCAAGGAGATCGATCGGCGGCTGAGTTACTTGGCGGATGCACATCTGGACTTCCAGATCAAGCTTATGATGGAAGAACTTTATCGAGAGGATACTGAGGGAGGTTGGCTCAGAGGGTAATACAACGAAAAGAACAGGATGCAATGGGATGGCGCAACACGGGGGAGGAGGTGGGAGGACGACATAAAGGCTGGGAAAAAGCAGCGCGATGCGAGAGCAAGAAGAAACTTAGGTGCCGACGGGTAGTCTGAAGTGCACACGTAAGTTCCGTCCTGCTGCAGCGAAGTAGGATTCGCCAGTCTGGAAGGTGCCGACGCGAAGGCATGAGCGCTGAGAAAGTGGGAAAACACGTAGGCAGGCCTCCAGCCACTTCGTAATAATACTACAAAAGCGGATCAAATGAACAAATAAATTCTGTCAACTCCGCTACAATATCGCTCATGTGCGGGAGACCCGGAACAACGCTTGATGACTAAGCTGCATGCTATCAAAAAACTGTTTGCTTGATATTTGTATATAACGTCTTACCGATCTATATAATTCCCTGCCCCATTGTTCGGAACGGCAATTTGGCATTGTTGGAATGAGATTGGTCTCCTGATATAATTCTTCCTATGAACAAAGACGGCCTAATGGCAATAGGGCTGCTTTGGTGTTCTCATTTCATGAGACTAATCAGGGGGTAGCAATTAATTTGGCCCTGCTGGGCCTTTGATCCGCTGGAAGCGTCACGCTGACTGCTTTCTCCATTCCTACTAGGGCTTGGTTTCCCTGCGTCTCCATCTCAATCCTCGTGATGGCTCGCGTCCAATATGAGGGCAGCGATTCCGAGCTGGATGATTCCATATTATCACCATCCTTTGCCGTCGGAGGTGAAATTAATGGCTCGTCATCGTCTTCTATATCGCCCACTGAAGTCACCATATCAGGTGCTTCTGGGGATATGATGGGCGCTTCGGGCTTGACTCCGTTCCAGTGTCCACATCCGATTTATTGGACAATTTTCTGGGTTTTCTAACGGTTGGATCGACGGGGCGTGAGACCTATGGTGGCGGGTCGCGTTGTGCACACATTTAGCCTCAGTTTGGCACATCTGATTGGTCCGATGGGCTAGCAGCGCTTAGATCTATCTCGCAGCTTTATGGTCGACTCTGATCGGTTTTTGCGATTTGATGGATGATGGGTGGACTCAGTGGTCGTGGCTGCTTCATGCTAGCCCTGTTTACATGATCCTCTGGGTCGTTTTCGCCCTGTTCGGTAATCCGACGGTTCTGTTTTAGGTGTGTTTGCAGGAAACTCTTGTAATTCCATTTAGCCGCATATCTTCCTTAGACGCTCTCGCAGCATACGGTCTTCGTCCTCGTGATCAAGCTTTCTCGCTGTCTAGGTGTGTGTGGCTTAATCGGATCTGGGGTTGGTGGAACTCGCTCGCGTAAGACAGATGTTTCGGCCGACGCTGTGGCGCTGGACCAAAAACGGCCCCAGTCATTTGAAATGCCCCGCTTTGAAGCCCACCTAGCATGGGGTTCAGGCGATCTCGGTGGACCCTGAGTTGTCACATTTGATTGCGCGATACCTGGGACTTCATCCGAGCCAATGGACGATTCACTGGCGTTTGAGCGATTCGATCGGTGAGGAATGAGTTATGTGGTGACGGGCCGCTCCGTGCGAGCCCTTGACGTCAATTTCGGTGGATTTGGAGTTGGATAGGCCGATTTGGTGATTTTCGGTGCGCTTGCCTTATTCTTTCCACTTTCGCACCTTTGTCCCCTCCTATCACCCACATCTCCCCAAACTCGCTCGCTATTGTCGGCCTCAATAAACTCGACCTCGCGCGATTCCATAAGGTGGCACTTCTCCTGGTCACAGAGAACCCAAGCTCCTCGTCTGTGAACCCGATGTGAACTCCCTCTCCGGGCAGCGCTCCCATCCTTTCCTGGAATTTTTCCGGGACGCGGGCATGCACGGTGTATTCGAAAAGTCGGAGAGACGCAAAGTTGGCCTCTTTCTGAAGTAGACCCTACGTGGGGTCTTTTCTCCCTCAGGAGCACGGGTCAGGACTCGGTTCTTGATCCAGGCTGCATGTCGGATGGCGAAATTCCAGAGGTTTTGCGAAAGTTACTTGCCTTTCAGCGCTACTCTGGCATCTTCGAGCATGGATCGGGTGCGATTGTCCAAAGTGCGGCTTGCTCACTCCGCAACACCGTCTTTTGCGGAATGCGTGTTCACGATTTTATGTTTGATCCCTTCTTCGGCAAAGAGTTCCTCAAACGCTTTGGACTCGTACTTTCTGCCACCGTTGGTCCGGAACACTTTGGGTTTTCGGCCAATCTTCTCAGCTCGGCTTTCCACCTCCGGAAGAGCTCTGGGGTCTCATCTTTCGACTTCGTAAAACTGACGCGTGTATAACGGTTGTATTCGTCAGTGAATGTCAGCAAGTGGTCTACCTGAAGCAGCAAAGCCCTCAACTCGCGTTGAAACATGATTGGGACCGCACTTAATACTGTCAGTAGCAACTGAGTTTCGGATTCTGCGCTTCCCTCTATTATCCGCCGTTCCATTCATCACTCAGGTTCATAGTATTAGACCATCTGGCGGGCCTCTGTCTACGTCAAAGTTGAAGGACTTTCATGCTGGTCCGTTGGTTCTAGAGCAGGCGAATGATGGACGATCGACATGGATTACAAGTAATACATGCCCGGGTCTGAGTGGCAGGCGAGTTCAAGCACTACCGAGTGATAAGCATCCATGATGCAGTCGTTAGGAAGCCATTGGTCTGAGAACTAGGATTATTTATTTGTACTGGAAATGATAAATAAATGTACGAAACAAGCTACTCTCAATGCTGGCTGGGTTCCATACTACTGATTAGGCTCTGGACTGCCAACTTCATGCGACGACGAAGCTCTGCCACCTCTCCGGGATAACACGCAGGATTGGCCAAGTTTGCAGCCTGCACCTTGTTAAAATCATTCCGGAAGTCTTCGAACTCCTTGCGGTGAGTCTCTGCATAATGCAGGATGATGGACTTCGCAACACCTGCTGTGTCCTTTCTATCTGGACGTGGGTGGTACATCAACGCCATGAACATCGCGGAAAAGATTTCTTTGGGCTCGGGGTCTCCCCTTATTGGATGCCCAGAGTGCACACGTTCTTGCGAGTCGTGCACGAACGCCGAAAGCAGAGCGGCCACTGTGTCGCACCTATCAGAGGCTCCTTCCCGTTGCGACTGGAGGAGGCGATCCACCCAACTGGAGTGGAAAGACCGTGTCATGCACCGAGAGGAGAGGAAAAACGATCCATGCATGAGTGCCCCAATGCTTGGCTCCTCGTGCACTTCGCATTTCGAGAGCGTGAACACGAAATGAATTTGACCTGGAGCCATAATGCTATCGCCAGACGTCAGGAATGTGAGATCGTCCAAGGGGGAAGAGAGCCTTACAGCGTTTGTCCTGGACAAAGAACGAAATACCCATACCGATATGGGAGGTGGAATAGGTACTCCAAACCGATGGCTCCTCCAAAGTCGATGTCGTCGAACTTCACGATCAAGGGATCTGGATGCATATTCACTGGGAAGAAAAGGAGCTTGTACCCTGCATAGCAGTGCAGGATTGTGCCAACCCCATCCGGATCTTGATGGGGTGCTGTATAAGATCCCGCTGCGGCCAACATCGGAGTCCTCCAAGTCGGGTAATCTTCTGGAAGATGTCCCTCATCCATGCTGTTGAACATGAGGTCGTCAAAAGTGTTGAGGAGGCTGAGAATTTGAAATGAGAAATAAGTACACAAGGCAGGCACCTCCCTACCTTTCCACTGGAAGACGTATAACCCCCTTAAGGTGATGCACCACCAATGGCCGGGACGTCTTCCAATTGGAGATTTCATGTACAACTTTGTCCAGTGGCTCCCATGTGGTCTTCTCGTCGTCCTCACCGGTTCGAGAGTGATCCGAATCTGGAGGGTTGACAGTGCCGGCATGATCTGGTAAAAGTAAAAGTAACTTACTGAAGCATTCGACAACCCCACCTTTGCTCTTGAGGGAGAGGAGGTCGTAGAGATCCAACTTGGGCGTATTTCCAGGGGGGCCAACCATCAGAACCAGGCCCTCGTTGTTGACGATGGATTGGAAAGTACTTGAAGGCATGGTGAAGGCTTCAGCCTCCATCATAGTGCGTGGGCGCCAGTCGGTATCCAATGCCTCAGACTCCAGTAAACGTGAGAGTTTCTTGATGGGCTCCTGGGAATATAAGGGCTGATAGTTGGCCAACCAAAGGGGGAGATGTTTTAAACTCACCGAATCAGGATAGTGGGGGAAGCCGAAGTCGTCCAATACCCATTTGTATGTGTTGTGACTTTCAGTGGAGGTGCATGGGAGACACATTGTGTTGAGGGCCTTTAGATGTATGATGAGAACGAGAGAGGAATCAGTGGGATGCTAGACGCACCTTCAGTCGTGGGGGAAGGTTGTAGGAGGGGGAAGGGGAGGAAAAGGAGGGAGAATGGTAGGAGGGGGAGAGAGAGGAAGAGGAAGGCGGAGCGATGAGTTTAGGCCAGTGTTCTTGGAGGTCCTCAAGATCAGGGATGCGGAACTCAGATATGAAGTTGCGCAAATCACCGTCACCCTCCGGTTCCGGAATAGAGCTCCCCCCCTCAGGGCCTTCCCCGCCAGTCGAGTGTTTCCCCTTCCCTTTCCCAGTGCGGTGTTTGTTCGCTGTCCTGGGCTTTTTGCTCTGCTTGCTGGACTGCTGCTGCTGGGAACGCTTGCAGGATCTTGGGCCCAGTTCTGCAGCAGTCTGTTGATGAGGATTGGGAATGGGGGAGGATGGGGGAGGACTTGCAGCGATCTTGACATGCATCCGTGCATGTTTGAGGACTTCGAAATCCTGTAACACTAGCTGACCTCGCTTACACGTCTCCACTACCACGTGAAGGATGGCACTTTCCATCACCACCTCTGCATCAGACATGGAAGGGAAGCTGGCCCCCTTGCAGATGTGGTTGGCTAACGACGTCCATGTTGGCAGACAGCCAGGTTTCGTCATCGTTGTGCCGATTAAAAGGGTGAGGGGGGAAATGCAGACGGCAAGGGCCAACGGTCCGATTATGGCAGAACTGCAGGCACTTTGTGAGTTAGAGAGTGGCAGGTGGCAAATGCCCTCCTTACCCAGAGGATTTTTTCTCCCATGTGATACTTTCATTCTAGGAAACCGTCATCTCTGAGAAAACGGAAATGATAGCAGCCAGAGAGAGACTTACCAGAAATTCCGAGGAGTCCAGAATGCGACGGAGGCCCCATGCAGCATAGAGAACGTTGGCTGCAATTTGATGCCATCTGGAGGCATCCTGACGCGATTCTGCCTCCTTTAGAAGACTCGCAGCATTGCTGCTGCTGGATGGTTCCTGCGCTGTCTGAGCAGGGACCGAGCTCTGGATGTCATTTTCAAGCGAGTCATCGAAGAACGCGAGACGGGACCGCAGCTTCCAATAGGAGATGTTGCGCTTATGTTCATCAGCCAAAGAGTTTTCTTGTGGACTAATGGGCATGGTGATTGGGGTGGGGTATGCGCCTCTAGGTGAGTGCTGCATCCACATCACTGCCAAGCGAGTCTTAAGGAGTCCGAAGAAGACAGCGTGGAACATCATCCGTGCAGGAGTTCCTCGGAACCTGTTGGATGATTCGAGGGACGGAGAGCGTTCGGACATCCCAGCATATTCTTTGTCTTTCTTCTCTGTAAGGTGCGTGCAATATTCCTGCCACTCATGGATTCCGGATTCGCAAGCATGGACGATTCCGGCGGTTAGCTCTTCCAGTGGAGGGAATGAGACATTTCGATGGCTTTCTAAGTACAGTTTGATTTGGGAAAGTTGTGGAGGCACCCAGTCATGGTCCCAGACGTCAACCGAAGCCATCGAAGACAAACGAGGAAAATGGGAATGCGACAAACACAGTACTACGGTTACTCAGCAGGGCCAGGTTGAACTTTCGATTATGGTCGTGACTCGGGACTTTGTGAACTGCTACGCTTACAGCAAGGTGCAAAAAAATCGACGCGCCCAATGTGAATGAATGTCCGTGCAGGTCATGTGATTATCCACAAATGGCAGAAAATAAATGATGATCGACTTGCAGTTTCCTAAATAGGGTTGGTCACATGATCTGATCGACCATTCATCCAAATCTGTTGCGCCGTTTGTTTTGCACCTTGCTGTAATGGAGGCACGAGATTAATGTGCGCTGTGTTAAATTTCTTGGGATACAAGCGTACGCTGAGGCCAACTCACGTTGTTGATGTTGAGTCTTGCAGCGCTAAGATTTACTTTGTTTCCTTTTTTTGGATCAGTTGTTACTAAAGTCAGTGCGCATTGATAGCGCCTGACTATAAAACACCAATTTTTGGACCTTACGACTTCTCCTCAGTTCACGCATAGCGGACTGAGGTGAGTCTAAGTTTTCTCCTTCACTTATGTGTTTAACAACTTGTATCTAATATTCGTACACCAGCGACAACATCGCTAGGTGAATATTTCCAATATATTTCAAGCTCACGCATAGCGGACTGAGCGACAACATCGCTAGTCCGACATTTCGTCTTATACGCTGGCCTCAGCGTCTCAGTCGTTCTTGGGGTATCTGCCGTGCCCTTTGCTAGGTTTGCCGTCATCTGTACGCATTATTCAATGCCTGATGTACTTATTCCAGGTGGGTTGAAAGGCTTTATTTCCCACGCGAAGCCAAGCTTGTTTGCCTACCCATCTATCACTAAACTAAAAGCTCAAGAGAAATTTAAGTATGGAAATTATCGCAATAGCGTCCATGTCATATATTCCCGGTGATATGAAACGTGAATCGTTGACCAGTGATAGCACTAATTAGCTTGCCCTAGTGTACTTAACTCGCGAACACTAATTCTTATTCTACCACAAGCCGTGAACCTTGATGCTCAATATCTATTGTATTATAATATGGTGGAATATACATGTACCATAACATGGAAATTCGACGAACCACTCGTCCTTCATGAAATCCTTGTTATTCTCTTGTCCCATGACACTCATAGAAGAGGACTGTCGTTCGTTTGCACCGTCCGAGAGTTTCCGGAACCCGTGAGATTAGTTCGCAGTTGGCCATTTTTCGGCTCACACCGCGAACCTGTCTGACACTTGGACCAACTCATTTTCGTTAGCTCATCGTTGTTTACTCCCCCAAGACCATGTCGCAAAAAAATCACCCTTCCATGAACCGTGGGGCTGCTGAGGGTGCTCGGGCTTCCAGTGCATTCAAGGGCAGTGGGAGTGTTGGAGACGACAACCTCAACGTCGCGTCCCACCCCCGTCTCTCCTTTCTGGCGCAGCTGAGGTCACGGCGCAGAAACGAGCTACGGATGAATCTGCCGCCTTGCCTGGCCCCTCAATCAATAAGGTTGGCGTGTTTTTACCATAACCTCGCGCGTCGAACTTGGTTCTCAATGTTCATCGTTCACAGCCAATACCTCGTAACTTGGGTTTTACTAAAAAGACGACGTCATCCGCCGCCGGTACTTTGTCAGGCTCAGCTCTTCAGCCTAGCCTCTCCCATTAGCCAGTGGTTGTCCCAGACGCCCCTGATCATGGGTTTGCTGCTTGTGACGGAGTGCAACGACCCTCCTTGCCCAATCGACCCGGGTGGGTTATGGTTGAATTTGAAGGTAGCACTCCAGCGCCTTCGACGCATTCGGAACAACATCCTGTTCTCGATCCTTTTAATTATGATCGTGTCTCTGGTCATTTACAGCGTACTACAGTCCGTTGGCTGCAAGATCAGTGGCCCATGACTGAATCTCGACTAAATCATCTCGAGGACATGATTAAGGAGGAGAATAGACTTTCCGGTGCGTTTGTGTTCGTCTTTTCTTATGTCGCGTTGCTCATCTATTTGTTGGCATTTTTTGGATCGTTCCTTAGTGTCTGTCGACTTATACTGTGTTACAAATTGGCGATTGATTGCGTCGAACAGTATGAAGGCGAAAGTATATCGCTTTCAGGGGTACCCAAAAGGTTTCTCAGCTGCGGATCCATATGATCGGGAAGGTGCTCGCCCCCTCGATGATGGCCATTCATGGAAATACCCCAGGATTGATCCAAATGATTTTGTCGAGAACTCCGTCATCTACCATCTGAACCGTCCCCACTATCCCTACCTGACACGCTATGCTGATGACCCCCCTCTCGATTATCACCATATAATACAAGACGATCGTCGTAATATCGACCCATGGATGCTGAGTCCGGGCCTTCGCCAGAAGCTTGATGATTGGTTCGAGTCCGTCTTCGAATTATACTTGGCCTGGCATCACCTTGTATGCTACACCCAAATTGTCTCCTTTAAGCCTTACTGGCCTATACCGTCCCATCAATTTGCGGCTCTCTATCCCTTTCGTGCCCATGAAGGCCATAATCCAGATCCCCTCCTTCTTGCGAACTTCTGCTGTGGCATATATGAAATGAGAGCTTGGTGTACATACGTTATGTTTACCATGCTTGACGTAGTTCATCGATCTGTCACCCGGCCACTGTTGCATCATCCAGTCGACGAAAATATGATTGGCGCCACCTTCTTCGATGACCTTGATTTGTCTGATCCCAACATATCGACTCTTCATCGTCATGGCGTCCCTATTTTCCAGGTACGGGTGTGGGACGGTCAGAAAACAGCACACAGACCCTCATCTCAAATATACGCACACGCCGCAACAAGCCCCCTAGTCGGGGTGGGGCAGGATGTTAGAGTCAATCTCTTCCTCGAGGAAAGCACATCAAGTATCCGTCGGGCTTTCCCCTGGATTGTCTATCCGTTGACAGAGATGAAAATGAAGCAAAGCCTTACGTGGATTGTTGCAAATGAGCTGGGCCTGTGCACACACCCTCGACCCATTGCCCTCCCTGAAAATACGTTCATGGTGCTCGAAAAATGCTTTGGTAGAGGCGTTAATGTTGAAGCTGTCGCGAAGTCGGACGCTGTCCATCAACCAAGAGGTTTCCGCGCTCAGCCCTCGACTGACCTTCCTCGTCATCCTCCACCTTTTCCCCCGCCACCCGCGCCTCCATTGATCGTAGGAAGTGTAGCTCCACGACCACAACTCCAGCGTTCCGTTACCCACGTTCTCTCCCCCCATTCCAGCGCCTCCTGCCTCAAGTGCCCCTTCAGTTTCCGACAGCAGCTCCAGCAGTTCGGACAGTGGGTGCGAACTTGATATAGATAAAACCATGGCGATGCAGCAGAAATATCCCCAACGGCAGAATGAAAGCAGGCGGGACTATTCGAGGCGAATCTACAAAGAGCTTCAACGAGTGGAAGAAACACGTAATCATCCGGAGGGGCGACTGTTGATAGCTGGTGCGTACCTCGGGAGCGAGATCTGCCTAAAGCGGATATCGGAGGAGCAAGCAAAGCCGACATTGGGAAACAAAGCTGGCAGAGGGGTACGGACAACTACTCTACGTCTGTATCTTGACAGCTCGTGGCCCAGCAAAGCGACGAGCGAGGATGTCCGAAATCCAGTTAAAACAGTGTCGGCAGGGTAGCTTAGCTATACTTCGGGACTCAAAGACTAACTTTGAGGACCTGCCCCCAGATGTTCTGTCTGAGCTTGGCGTCTCACGGCCGCCTGCGATGGAGATTGATGCACCAGGAGGTATGATGGAGCCAGGGGGGCTAACGGGGCCGATGGAGGTGGTACCTTCGACAACCCCAAGCATCGCAGAGCCCTCTATGGGCAGCTCGATGGCGAAGGGGGTGAGGTTGGGCGAAAAGGAGTCGGATCCGCATCTAGGTGGTGGGGAACAACGAACTCGATCGGGATTGGACATGGAGCCGCCAAATACGATGGAGGCTGAAGTAATCCCTATGGATCTTGTTGAACCTCAGCCATCAAGCAAGGTCCAGGTAGGCGGTGCTTCGGAGAGGCCTCAGACGCCGCCGCCATCGAGCTTCATGAAGCGCCCTCGGCCTGCAGTTCGGTCGCCTACATCGCCCCCTACACCCGTCTCCAAGATTGGCCCGTCAGGTTCGAAGTCATTGCTTGAGCGGTTAAATCCGGTAAGGATTTCATTGTCCGCACGTCTCACCTCGGGGCTGAGTATTTCTCAGGACGAAGGAGAAATGAATGTGCTGGGGACTGGGCGTGGCCTGGGTGGGGTGGGGGCCACAGCGCTGGAACGTGGAAGAGGCCGTAGAGGGACTTTTTCGAGTCACCCTGCCTCCGCACGGCCTCATCCGAGAGGGGAACTTCCATATCCACGTCGGGCACGAGCACCACGTCGCCCAGTGTTGCCTGTTCGTGGACGTTCACCATTGCGTTCGCGTTCTCGTTCCCGTTCGCGTTCTCGTTCCCGTTCGCCTTCCCCTTCCAGAAGTCTGCACTCGCGCTCGCCCATGGGAATGCGTTTTTGCTCTCATTCCCGTTATCCTCTCCGTTCTCGCTCCCCTTCTTATTCCCACTCCCGCCTTCGTTCTCGTCCTCGCTCTCGCTCTCGCCCTCGCCCTCGCCCTCGTTCTCGTTCTCGTTCTCGTTCTCGTTCTCGTTCTCGTCCTCGTCCTCGTTCCTACTCTCCTTCACGCACTGAGAGAAGCGATTCCATGATATTGTAACGTGATAGGCCAAGATTTTGCGAAAAGTCCTGACCATTGTGCGATTATTGGAAACAAGACGTTGTCCGTTATCATGTAACTTCGCGGACTGCTACCTTCAGGCCCAGTGGAATAGGATTTTTATCCTGATCTTTTACAGACCGGTTTCACTGTTTGCTGGAGGCGGAACAGAGCCGGATTTTTATCTCATGGTAGACCAGACAAAGTCGCAATTCGGAAGCTAGATGTAAATTTGATTCGTAGCTAGGTATCCTAAGCATACACAATGGATTTTTGTCAGAGTTCGTCTTGTTGGGGAGCGTCTACAGTCAGTGAGTCATCCGTGAAGGCGGTGCGGGCCCAGGAACCGCTCCGGTCAACAATCGCCCATTGAGGATTCGTGGTGCCAATTTGGATGCGACCCACCACTGCGCAGATTGCAGCCAAGTCCACGATTTCAATGTACGACGTCAAACTTCTAAAATAGGTCAGCTCTAGTGTAGCATCGTGTCCCTGGGTATCACAAGTGGTATTAACACCAAAAAGAATGGTTTCGGGCTCGGATATGACGTTTGATGGGATGGTGCAGTGAAGGATATACTCGAGCCGCCCATAGTAGACAGTACGAACAAAATCTTCTTTGGCTCGTGGGCGGTGTGCATTCGCGTCAGCAATCAACTCATACTATCAAATAACATATTGGATTATGTAAACCAGAATTGCGATCACTCACACGGACAAAAGAGGCATCGCGGAAACTCTGCCGACTGCTCATCTGCGCAATGGCCCCTCGAATAAGATCGCCCCCATTACCAATGCGAACTTTCGCCCAGCGCTCCATTATTTGTGGAAGGATGTCCAACCAGGCTCTGATCGAGCCACCGAAAGATGTCGTCAAATGTTTTGCAATCTTCTTTCGAATTGTCAGGTCAGGAGTATGGTTGTGTTTGACGGGGTTGCATTCATATCATGTCTCAGTGGCATCAGCTGAGTTACGTTGTAGCGGTTTACAACCTCAAATAATTGTGCTGCCTGATACGAGGCACGTGAATGGTTGTTTCCGAGATTTGATGGTGGGTAAAAGCGAACCACACCAACGCTCCATGATGAAGGTCCAATTGTTACATGGTGGCCCATTGTTTCGAATGTCATATGGGATATGAAGGAGTGCATGCACAGTGAGGGGGCATGCAGATAAATGCTGAGCCGAAAACTGGTAGTAAATACTAGAAAAGCCACGCAATATATTGTTTCACACACAAAACTCAAGTGATAAAATGAACTCACATTTCATATTCTTTCACATAATCAACGATATCTTGCTCCAACTCATCCAGGTCTTTCTCTGTGAAAGAATATTGAATGGTGCATTTGAGGATTGAATTGAATTTCATGAAATGTTTGTAATATTTGGGGCGGTTGAACCTGTTCCTGAGAACATACGGCACTATGTGAATCATCCAGAAAGCCCAATCTTCAGCTGTGAAGATGTGCTTTTCCATCCAAATGTTTGGGGTATGACATCTGAAGGATGAGGGTACCGTGTCCCCAGCTTGAGCAGTTTCTTGTCCGATTCTTTCCCAGAGAGCTTCGGAAAGCTGATAGCTTTCCTTCCCCTCATCCAAGCCTTTATATTTACCTTGCCATAGTGCAACCAGATTTTTTGAGTGATTTTCTAGGCAAAGATGCATCCAATCATGGGGGAAAGACCTAGTAATTGAAATGGATGGAAGTTCAGTGAGCACACAGTTTCCCTTGATCCCAGACTGTTGTTGGATTTTAGAAAGCTTCGATTTTGAGCCTCTGGAACTGCCTAGGAGGGAAGCGACCTCTGAGAGTGTGTGTTGATAATCAGATTTGGAACGGAGCAAGTTGTCCCGAATATCCCAGTATGTATCACATGTTTTGGGCTGGTCAAGAGGAGGTGTGTGAGGGCATAGTATGTTGTCGCACCATCAAGATTCCTAATTCCCTTAATGTGGCAGACTGAGCATGGGGAAATCCCATTAGGACCCTTAAAATTCAATATGTGCTTCACAGCAACCATATCGCCATGAAAAGAAATCAGATAAGCTTGAAGCTTGAAAGTTTCATTTGAAGTTATATCCAATACCCATTCTCCCAGAGCCAGCTGCTTGCAGTCATCAACAACTGTCTGCAAGAAGGAATTGAAGTCTTTTGGTGCCTTTGGCCCCTGGATTATAGCAAGTGGGATTATATTTGATAGTTTAGTACGTTCCTTGGGTGGCAGGTTGAAGTTGATTGTGATAATGGGCCAGTAAGTCATGCTGCCATCGTGTTGGCATTTAAAGATCTGAAATCCATCCATCATGATCCCCAGTGCAATGTCCCAGTGATCACCGAATAAATAGTGCTGATATCGCTGCCCATCAAGACAAACTTGTTGTTGCTGTAGATGATGGTAGTGGATTCCATGAAAGACATCGTCAATAGTCCCAGTATAGAGCCCCACGGTATTTTAGATGTTCAGCAAAGCTCTTGTTTGTGTAGAGCGCTTTGAGGCGAGGTCCCATTGGGAGATAATGGAAGGTCTTGAAGGGACGACGACAATTTGGTTTGAAGTGTGATTGCTTGCAGTATGGACAAGTATTGAGATTGGCAAGTTCACCAGAAAAACAGCAGCAGCTGTTAATGCAGCAGTCATATGAATGCTCTATGACATGGAAAGCCTGGAGATGTATGAGTGAAGTTGATGAAGCGACTTCAGTTGAAGGTCTTCAAAGCGTGACTGAATAATGCTATATGTCAAACCAGACATATTGCTGCGAATCATAATGTTGAACATCTTCAGGTTTGTGTAGTCTACACTGGAAAGGGGCTGGTTGTCTGCATTTGTAGGTTAGCTGATGACAAAGTGAGAGAAATTACGACACACAAAATTGGTTATAGCGCCGTAAGTTCATGCCTGCTTTATATTCCTCAACAGCCTCCATCCACTCTTCCAGAGATGCCTGGTTAGGCCCTGAGAATTCCCCCGATCCATCATCACTCTGGGATCCATCATCATTCCGATCATTGCTTCCATTAGCATTAGGAGCAGATGTTAGCACCAAACTGTATTCATAGCTGACTGGAAGCATACAAAATTTTGCAATCATCGTCAAAGTGTGCCATTTCCACTTCTGAGGCCCAGTGCTCATATTTGAATGGATCTTCCCATGGTGAATTCCCCATTGTGTTGAGTTCTGATTCCATAGCAGGATTGAGAGTTCCTTTTTGCCTTTTGTAATAGCTATGGGGAGCCGGACATCCAAAAAGATGTGACCTTTTGACTTCATGGTGTCTGCGAGCCATGCTAGTCGAGTACCTTGGCTTCCAAGCTTTGGTTGTGTCACTTGTGTGGCAATCGCAAACCATAGCTTAAGGCAGTCTCAAAATGTTTGATCAAAGTACCCAGATGTGTCCCACCTCTCAGAGAGCTAAACGGTTGAGTGAGAGGGGAAATTACACCAATGGAAGCTGCAGGCGCTTGAGACATGTTATTTTGGCATATTTGGTTCTGTTTGAGATGAGAACGAATTCAACTGGACCAAACACAATCTGCCCAGGTGACCAGCCTCTTATGCTCCACCATCGCACCATTTCTCATGCCATTCTGTAACTCAAAAACGCATGATTTCTTCCCTCAGATGTGAAAAAGAACAGCTCGAGAAGGTGCTAGAAGGCAAGTCTCCCTCTATTTTCACATTCAAATGCATCGATCTACGACCGTGTCCTCCAGGCCTCCAGAAGGATGCTGACACGTGTAAGTGCAGTAGCCTCTCTGCATTGGCTACTCTGATATATTTTGTTGCACTCAGTGTGTCAAAACCATGTCCAAGAGCAAATTCCATGGCCACAGGGTCACACGGATCGTCTTAATTGTGGCTTCTGTCTGATGGAGGAACTGAGCATTATGAAAGAAGATATGAACACTGTACGAGTGAGTACTGAGGCCTTCTAATTCACGTGATACTGCAGTGTGACAACCAAATATCAGGAATCCATTCAATCTGCCCTATGCACAAATATTGGGGGCCATACCTTAAAGCACGATAAGATACAATGCCATTGACATTGAAATGCTCAAAATAATTCAAGATGAAGTGAGCCTATTTAATCCACTTTCCTCATCATTATAGCACACTGATTATTTGCATCATGCAGATCCTTATCAAGCATGCCTGGATCAAACAGAATTATGAAGAAAGCTGGCCTATTCCAGCACTAATCAAGACAGCAATAGAGAATTGTAAAACAGTTCTTCGACAAAAGGCCAAACAAAAAGGTGATCAATACGCTTGCTGGACCAATGCTAAACAACTATTCCGCTGTCCCATGCAGGTGAAAATGTTAAATGGATCCCAGGACTACAGCGCATAGCTCATCATGTCTCCCAGAATAATACTGCCATAGATAATGTCGCCATCAAGAGTGACACTGAACTGGGCAACTGCGGAAATGACCCCACCAAATCAGACGAAGAATCAGATGACAGCTGCACTAAATTTGATGGGGGCCACACTGAATCAGATGATGACCAAATTGAATCAGATGATTACCATGCTAAGGGTGTGGGAAACCAAGGGATTACTGGAAAAGTGTGAGGGAAAGGTGAGTATCACCAACATTTCCTCTTTATCTGGCATTCATGGCAGCAAACCAAATAGGGATGACAAGGATAGGGTCATCCATGACCAGTCTGATGAGACATCGCACCCAAGACAACCATCAGCCAAGAGTATTTCCTTGATCAATCAATGCATTCACGATGTCCATGCTAACACCTTTGTTCAGAATGCAAAATTCCATCAAGAATCCGCTTGCATCTCCCTTCAAAGAACAAATACATTGATGATGCTCTCATGGATGAAGGTGAGCGAAGTTGACTTGTTCTCAATTTGTTGCAATTTCTAACATCTTGTAGACATCGATCCTCTTTGTCATATCCATCCACAGCCATTGCCTTCACTACCTCTGGTCCCTCTGGACTACCTCTGCTCCTTCTTCACTAACCTCGGAGCTCCTGTATTCCACAATCACCTCCACTTCCCTCGATGGTCACCACCCCTCTTTTCAATATATTACCTATGCCTCCCTAAGTACAGAGCCCTGAAGGCTTCCAGACAGCTCTGACATCTGCTAGCACACTCTGCCTCTGCTGGGCAATTCACTCACTTGCCCTGCAAGCCCACCTTTGGCCTATCCCTCCTTTCCATTTCTGGGTTATTGCCTACCATTCTGCTAACCCCGTAACCCGACTTGTTGGTAATATTCAATCAGCTAATTAACTCCATTAGCTCTGCTCTGCTCAGCCCCGCCATTTACAGGCCCACCCTTGCTGTAACTATATATACTCAACTTGTACATAGGTTACACCTCAGTAATAAAATCGACTGGAGTTGACCCCCTTTTAGTTCTCGTTGCCAGTAAGTAAATTAGGGCACAGACGTGTAACTTGGCACAGCGCTCCTGGCTTGAGTTGCTGAGGCCGAAGCCCTCTGCCATGGAGACAATCCTTCATCTCAATCCGGTCTCTGACACTCTTCCTAAGCGCAAGTAATGCCTGTTTGTGTTCGATGACTAACTCAGACTCTTTTGGGATGGATAGGCCATCGTCGCATAAGCCATCACAGCAACAACATTGATGACAACAACAGCGAGGACAACAATGGCAGCAACAATGATGATAATGGTCAACAAAGTACACATAGTGGAGATGAGACTGAGGACATGCCTACATCTATCGCACTTCAAGCCAAAAGTAAGTCATTGGTCTTCTTTCCATCTGCAGTTCGCCAACTCTCATTGTAGTGCAGCGACCAAAATGCAAGTGTCAGGGACAGCTCTGAAAGCGGCAAAGTCCTGGCATGAGGGACCTGATGGGACAGATGTCGGCTGTGTGTAGCGGTGATCCCATCATGGGGGAGTGTCCCCGACCACTTAGCCTGAAGTGGGAAGTTGAGAAGAAGGCTGCTTCTTCTGTTCCCACCCCAGGTGCTATTATATACATGCGGTCAGGGTCACATGGGGGGAGCCACATCATCTCTGCACACAGCTGGACCTCTCTGGGTGTCTCCACAGGAGATCCTGAAGGTGTGCCGCTCTGTAGGTGGGGATGTGCATGTGGGTGCAGCGATCAGGGGAGTGGTATTAGGTGTAGAGAAAAGGGAAATCGACCGTGGAATAGAAATAGAGACAAAGAAGGAAAAAGGGAGAGGAGGAATGAGGCATGGTAGCGGGGGGAGTGGAGTAGGGTGGCGCGGTGCTGGGTCAGGTGGGGTGTGCCCTGACAGCAAGTAAATTTTTCACCCACTCGTTCAGCACACTCATTTCGAATAGCTCGTGCCCTTCTGAAAAGAACCACACCTATCGTTGGGGAGAACAGAGTGGAACCCAACAGCACTCGCTTGCAAATCCATGGTAACCGATTGGACAGCAATTGCACTCATGCCAAACTGGGAAAAGAGGCATTCAAGCTTTTCCTTCTTGACTCAATGCTCATGAATAATTTCCAGGTACTCATAGGGATGATCCACTACACAGTGGTAGATGCATGAGTCTGAGGAGCTTGGGTGTGAAAGGAGGCGATGAGGAACAGGGAAAGTGCAGATGTGCGAGCCTGAGGAGCTCCAGTGAGAGATGAGGTAATGCCAACCATTGGTCACTTCATTGTGCCTGACTCACTCCAGGTCTCCCAGGTTAACAGACTTCATGCTTCTTCACATCGTGATCTCGGCCAACATCATGGCTTTTCTTTTCTGCTTATGATTTTCTTGTACCATTTGTTCATTATCTCGATCCTCTGCTACCAGAAGTTGCTCTCCACCTTTCATTCGTTTCATATCCCACAAACAATATTGTAGCACTCATACCAAGCTCAATCCGATTATGTTTGCTGTAGTTAATGATTCGATCTGGGATTAGTCCACTTCTGGGTTGATGTATTGAGGACCCAATCGTGAATTTATACAGATAAATTGATTAAATCCCCAGCAAGTCAGGATTTTTGGCCATGATTCTGGTCAAATTGGTGACAAAACGGAGATTTATGAATGCTTGGGGTCAAGATAAACTCCTGGTTTATGGGGAAAACTCTGTCCACATTTAACCTGACTTTATCATGGATTCTTTTCTCTCAGCGCACACCATCGCTCTTGCTCTCGTTCTCGTTCTCACCCTAGTCCTCGCTCTCGTCCTCATTCTTTTTCTGGTTCCCAGCCTCCATGCAGGTCTCAGCTCGTGCTCGCCCATGTTCTAGCCCCCACCCCCACAGCAGTCCAGCAAGGCATCCACAGGAGCAGCAATTCACTAGTGGGTTGCCTTCCTTGGCCCCCTTTGTACAGATTCCCACACACAAGTGGTACAAGATTGAAATCTCCACTCAATGCTGGGTTGCAACACTGCTGCATCACCTCGAGCCAGCAAGCCTTGCTGCTCAGTATTGGTTGCATAGTGTTTGGGGCATTAAAGCAAACATTCTTAGACCTTCCTTTAGGAAGGATTTGCAAGGGAATAGCACTACTCATGTGTGGAGACACATGTTCTTGCTGAAGGAATCCATCCTCATGGATTCTTTCAAGCAGTTTATTTTCGCCACAGGCCATTTCTTTGATGATCACACCAGCAGCATACCTCTCCTGGATGTGAAGGGGATCGCAGCTTTCGCTTCCATTGACGACTTGGTCTGCACCTCGTGTGCCTTCAAGCATGCTGTTGACAAATATGAGCTAGCTCTACTTCATCAATTAGCCCCTCCTCCACTTCGTCATGAGGTGATCCCCGATGTCTTGCTGGACTATTGGAGCTACCCACCCATTGCTGCCAGTCCTCATCAAGTCCTTCAGAGGCAGACACTTCAATCTTATTCATTCACATGCCATGGCTTTCAGAGTGCATTGCCACGTTGCCAAATGAACAGCAGACAATCCAGCTCCGGCGTTTTGAGATGATATGTTGCGCTATTCAGTTGTACTACAGTGCTGCTATTGATCGTAACACATTCGGCAGCATCAACTTTGTGGCAGAAATTTGGCTGGTTGAAAGTGGTGAAATGAATGCTCTCATTCAGTGTATTGCTACATGGTGAGGGAATATCATACAGAGGTCACTATTGGCAGTCATGGATCGGAGAAAGAGGAGCTTCGATTCAAAAAAGGAATTTGGACTTTGCAGATTGATGCTGAGTGCTCTGTTGGCGAGTTCTTGAGACCTTTGGGCATGTAATCCTGTTTTTTATTATACATAAATTTCCTTCCATTCTTGGCAATCATGTTTGTGCATATTTGTTTAGTTCAGTGCCAAGAATGTTTCCACATCATTCCACATCACACTGGCTTGGTTGAACAAGGTATGCAAGCTGCAGCATCATCACTAAGGATGTGCTAAGCCATATTTCAGACTATCATTGCAGCTTTGTTCTAGGCCTTCATTTCAGGGATTCTCGGCCACGTCTTTGACATTGTCATTGAATGACTGAGTTTCTTGTTCAACCCTCCTTTTCAGCCTTATTCTCTTAGAGGCATTTGGCGTGTGTTTACAACATTGGGCATTGTAAAACAGGATCACTTCTCCCTCATATTGTTAGTTTGAAGAGTCTGACAGCACAGCGTTCAACATTTGTGGTGGCAAATACTTCTCCTCAGAATTCATCCAATTTGTAAAAGAATCTTGCACAAGAAGACAAACCCCCATACACAGAACAGTGTGGCTGAATAGGACATTAGTGTCAGGGGACGGACCCCGGGTCCCCATGACTCCTCTCTACAGTCCACAGTCTGGCCTGTAAACACAGCCCATCTCAGGGCATAGCTACTGTGGGTAAGAAAGTGATATAAACAAAGGGGCAAGTAGATACACTTGCCTACTGTGGGTAAGAAAGTGAGAAGAAGGTTAACTTCTCACTTTCCCACAGTGGCCCCAATATGGCGAAAACTTCCGGGGATACCCGGAAGTCACATGAGGTGGGATCCGGGGTCGGATCATGCAGCACGCAGAGCGTGCGGTGCAGGAAGTGTGTGGGAAGTGGAGTGGGTCCGGATGCGGGTCTGGGTCCGGGCTAAGTCAGGGTATGTGCCCTGACAATTAGTAACCATGTTGATTGCGATGTTGGAAGGTGTCAAGTCTCTGGTGGGACGTACCATGTGGCTGTATGCACTCCGTCATTCTACCCTCATTAAAAACATCATTCCCCACTCCATGTTACCCGATGGCGTATCCCCTCATGAACTCTGGACTGGTAACAAGCTGTCCATATCCACTATCTGCACTTTTGGCTGCAAAGCCTCAGTAGCCATTCCCAAGAGACAATGCAACAAGCTGGAGAGTCAGTCCACTGCTGGCATACACCTTGGCCAAGCGATTGGTAAGAAAGCCTTCCTCATCTACAACCCGAAAAAATTTGGAATCTTGTGATGTCCACTTCTTTGAGCAAGTGGGCAAGGATTCTGAGCATGTCACATTTGAGGTCCCTGATGGGGACCCTGCAATGCACATGGTAGATCGAGAAGGAAGCAGGGATGAGAGTGCGAGTGAGGTTGAGGTTGAGATGGATGATGAAGGAGAGGGTACGTGTCAGAGACCAGATCGAGATGAAGGAATGTCTCCATGGCGGAGGGCTTCGGCCTCAGCGACTTATGCCAGGAGCGCTGTGCCAAGTTACACGTCTGTGCCCTAATTTACTTACTGGCAACGAGAACTAAAGGGGTCAACTCTAGTCAATTTTATTACTGAGGTGTAACCTATGTACAGTTGAGTATATATAGTTACAGCGAGGGTGGGCCCATAAATGGCAGGGCCGAGCGGAGTGGAGCTGACGGAGTTAAACATTAGCTGATTGAATATTACCGAAAAGTCAGGTTATGGGGTTAGTGGAATGGCAAGCAATAACCCAGAAATGGAAAGGAGGGATAGGCCCGAAGGTGGGCTTGCAGGGCAAGCGAGTGAATTGCCCAGTGGAGGTGGGAGTGTGCTAGCAGACGTCGGAGCTGTCTGGAAGCCTTCGGGGCTCTGTACTTAGGGAGGTGTAGGTAATAAATTGAAAAGAGGGGGTGGTGACCATCAGGGATACCGAGGTGATTGTGGAATATGGGAGCTCCAAGGTTAGTGAAGGAGCAGAGGTAGTCCGGAGAGATTGG